TCAATCCCGGCCTTAATTTTGACGAGATTCTTTGATAAACTTGGAACTAATCTTTTACTCGAGACAAATGTCAAAGATATATCTTTCAACTTCCTCATCATATTCGAGTTTTCTGTGTTGAATTAATTAACAGTTTTAAACTACGCGGAAAAGTTTCAATAGATTTTATTAGTATCTCGACTAGTATCTCTTTCTCAAATGGAATCCTTTCGAACATATGGAATCCTTTCTTATCAGCATACCGAGCCGCAGTTTTCCGTTTTATCAGTTTTTCTGTAAAAACCTAATTCTCGGTACTCAGTTCGAGTGCTCGAAGGATTTCGTGTTTCGGCCAATCGAGACGATGTCGAGTATCCTTGTCTCGGACCGGCGCCCCGCTGATCCGCATAAAAGTGTTTCGAGAATCAGTGGACCGGCGGAATAGGCGACAAACAGGCGCGACATACTACCCAACATCTTGCACTCTTGTCGTGCCGCAGATAGCGTGCTTCAAGAACGGCGCGACAGGCGTGGGAGGTCGTCTCGCGAAGAGGCCCGACACAAGAGGGAAGGAGAAGCTTATTGTATCTTAAACGACAGAAGCTAATAGCAGGGATATGTGTGCATGGCAAAAAAAAAAAGAAAAAAATCGCCCAAATAAAAGTAAAACGAAGACATATACGCGTTAAAGACTAAGAAGTTTTGTAAAACGTGCGACGTGGAGGGCAGTAAAATGTTAAATTTATTACAATTGTTTAAAAATATTTTTGTAAAACACAGTTAACATTTGCGCATATAAATGCAAAAATCAATTATCTCTATGCTATTTTAGCATTTAATATTTTATTGTTATTATTTAAACATTAATTATATTGAAGTGGAATTATTAAACATTGAAGTGGAAACATTAATTATGTGAAGTGGAAATAATGATGTATAATAAAAACATTTTTTTTAAATGTATATACAATAACACAAGAAACGTCTGCTAGAATTGTTTTTATTTAATGGTATTAATGATATGAGTGACATATTGCGTATAAAAATCGTCGAAAGGTAAAAATCTGAAGCATTATTTAAGATACGTGATACCTTAAATAATGTTCGATCGCGTATCTTCAAAGAGCCGCGTTGTATGGTTCTTTGAAAATTCACACACGTTTCCATAAGCGATCATTTATTGCGTAAGATTTAATCACGATTATCGAATGCGCTCGCTACAAGCAGAGAGATGATATTTTGTTCCCATGATATTTTGTCATTTTTTTTCGTTAAAACATTTTGCTATGCGTGACGTTGCATTAATCTTAATTAAAAGTTGCATATAAATGGGGTATAAAAAAGTTCTACGTGTAAAAATATATGTATATTTCACATACGAGGTTTCTCCTAAACAGATCGCGGCGCGATAAGGCACTCGACCGTTTGCCGTGTTGCATCGAGACTAAAAATTCTTTGGGCACAAATATACATGTATTGAAATGTTGATGTAAATGTTATATATACGACATATTACACGTTGTCAAAAACTGTCTTGTCTAATTAAGTCGTTGCGGACAAAATATCTCTTTGGTAATTATTGTAAGTGCAAAAATTAATTATCACAAGTAACATTAATCATATTATAATTAATTCTACAATAGTAATTATACGCAGTACGACGCGACAAGACGAGCCATTGACAACGAATATCAATTATTGCAGTCGAAGTTCGAAGGACATTGTTTCTTTTTCTTCTTCTGTATTATCATCGAAATGTATAGCAAAGGATGCAGAAAGAAATTGAAGAATTCAAAGCGGTGATAAGAAATTCTATAAAGAGCGATGTGAAGATAAACAATTTTACATTTGCTGTAATAAAATATACTTTTGACACAGTGACGACAGATATTTTTGCATTTCCTTTCTTTATTTTCATCTTTCTTTCTTCTTTGAATCCAACAAATCTGTCGCACTTTCAACCTGCAATAATCTCTGCATTTCTGACGTTCTTACTTTCAGTATATACGCATCGAACATCGAATTCGATATGTACGACCCATATACGAATGCGCGATTCGAAAGGAAATGAACGAACAATGAATGCGAAGTCGAAGGGATTTGCGTTCACCGTTCATTCATTTTTATCCACATTAAATCTAACGTTATCACAAATAATATATACATACATATGCAGGCGCGCGCGCGCGCGCATACATGCATACTTTTTATATATATTTTTTTATATTATACATTATATTACACAATATAACTTATATATGTAATATATAATATAAAATACATATATATATGTTATATATTATATATATGTTGTATATATAAACACATATACATATATATACATATATAGAAACAAATATAATACGATGCGGATCGTGACTGATTCCGCACTTTTAAAGGAAGACGAATATGTCGTGTCTTCGTAGACGAATATATGTAAATGTTATAGCGGATCTAAATGAGAAAAAGAAACAGAAAACGATAACGGAATGATAACGCATGATATAATCAGACGATTTCGTTATTTTCATTGTATTTACATCATTAAGAATGAAGAACGAATTTGTTTCGCAACGAAACGGCGAATTCTTCTAGAAGATGTCGATTTGACGCCCCATCTCAGACGAGATCAACAGCATTTGTAAATATTCGACCTCGCTGACACTTTACAGGTAAGTACGGTTGTAAAATTAAACGCGACAGAAATGTCGTGGAAAGTTTAACGAGTATATATCATTGTATTTGCAGCTTTGCAAAGCCGTCGCATCAAAATATACTTGTTATTACAATATATTTGTGATAATAGTCGTGGCAGAGACTTAAGATCTGTAAAAATGAATATTCGTATTCCTTCGGTGATTTTTGTATAAAATCTTAAATTTAACTTATAATTTTTGTATACTATTCGTAACTATATAAAATCACGAACCTTTTAATTTTTAAGTCTTAAAATTGTTTTACTTTTTAATATCTTATTTCGATGCTTCATTTATACATTTACATCTCAACAACAAAATTGTCAGATCTCGTTGCTTAAAATAAATCTTTCATTTTAATCTTTTACAGATAACAATACGTAGGAATAATAATATGTACATATATATGTAGCGTACGCAAAACATTTTATCGTTGTAAACTCACATTAAATTTTTTCACGTGAAGTCCTCAAATTATAAAATGAGTTTCAACTCATATTATTAAAACCATTTATTGTAGGGGATATTACAAAATATTTATCTTTGGCATCTTTGGCATAATCATGTAAAAATGGTTATAGATCTTTGAAATAATTCAGTTAATGTCCTATTTATCTTAAAATACCTCATAAAATTCATCTTCATTTAATATACATATATAATGTATATTAAATATATAATATTATGAAATTTATAGGAGATACAGCATATGAAATTTCTTTTTATGTTATTTTATTTTTTATGCTAATTTTAAACTATTTTAAAGATCTATGAACGTTTATATATGATATATATATACAATACCTATGTATATGAATGACATTATATGATATGAATGAAGAATAAGACGCGCAAATAATTATGCAAACAATTGTAAAAATATGCAAATATAACTTGTATATAATTACCGTTCAAAAATTTGGAAGCACTACCTTCTTAAAAAAAAAAAAAAACGATTCTTTAAATGAAATTTTTTCCTTGGAAAATGATTAGAAACAAATAATACTGTGTTCAATAGATAAAACAGATAGTAAATTTTTCATATATGACGTTTTTCTTTAAGATCTAAATAATGTAAATGAGCAAATTCGTATCGCAGAGAAGAATCTGAATAAATATGAACGAGACATTGGAGCAACAGAGACCATATGAGGCATGTGTTGATAAATTCAACGGTAGTGCAATACGCCACCAGCAAGAATTAAAAGTAAGAATTTCACGGGAATATTCTATCATTAAAAGTATAAATTTCCAAGTTACTTAATAGTATTTTTAATAAATTTTAAAAATGACATAATATCTATATGTATATATGTTAATTAAAATTATCAACAAACTATTATAGTAATTAAAGAAAAGGGTTGTGACTATGTAAATTTTATCATTCGAATATTGTATTTGTAGTAATTAACTTCAAAGAACCGGGCTAAAATAATGAATTTAAAAGCGCGATGAGTGCATGAAAATATTAAAGGGTGAAAACAAGATGTTGACCGATCGTTTGAACAAGGAATTGCCGAACTTGGAGAGCAGGCACGCTAAGGAGTCCATTCTTCAGGCAGGTAGAAATCTCTTACGTGTGAAAATTATCGCGATTTATCATGGCTTAGGTGCCCTTGGAGTCGAATCCAGAGGTTATGACGAAGTTCCTTCACAAGCTGGGCGTTCCAAAGAAATGGTCGGTCTTAGATGTGTACGGTTTAGAGTCGGACTTGCTGGCAATCGTCCCTAGGCCCGTTCTTGCCGTTATTTTGCTTTATCCTTTTTCGAAGATTGACAAGGCTGAAGAGGATAAAGCAGAAGTTAAGGATAGCAAGAATGATGGTCCAGATTCTGTATACCATTTGAAGCAAAATATCTCAAACGCATGTGGGACAATTGCGTTACTTCACAGCGTAGCGAATAATTTGGACGTCATACAATTGGAGGATGGCTTTCTCAAGAAGTTCTTAGATGAAACCAAAGGACTCTCATACGCTGAACGTGGAGAGCGTTTAGAAAAATCGCAGGAAATTATTAATACTCACATGGAATCTGCCCAGGAAGGACAGACTGAGGCACCAGCTGAGGATATGGAGGTGTACCACCACTTTGTCGCGTTTGTACATAAGGACGGTTCCTTGTACGAGCTAGACGGTCGAAAGCCTGCTCCTATCAATCATGGCTCAACTACACCGGAGGCACTTCTGGACGATGCTGCCCGCGTGTGCAAGGAATATATGGAACGCCCAAAGTTAAGAAACCACCATTCTAATATGGAATATAATCTGTCTGAAGCAGCACAATCGATTATCGAAAACAGTAAGCTGAACGACAGAACTCTGAGCGGTAAGTTGTACGAGATGGAAAAGCCTTTGTCGCAATTTGACGCTACGAGCGTAACCACAATCAGATACATGTTTTCAGATACATGACTGTGCTTATTACGATCATCGTAGCGTTATAGGGCATCAGCTGACAGGGCAGAAGCTCGAGCAGATGGAAAGGTCGTTAGTCGAGAAAGTTTTCGAGGCAGATTTGACTGAAGTGAATAACGAACTGGAACAAACTGATATCGCGAATTTTTCATGTCCTTTAGCTGTTCCTCGTACTTCTCTTCGCGAGAACCAGTTGAAGAACATGAAAAATACGTGTGAGAAGCTGCAGCAGGAAGTCAATTCGTTGAGAGAATTCAGTCGACATGCGACATCTCGTAGTGCTTCTGTCCAGGAATCTTCGGAAAGCGTTCTGGCGAATGTCGAGAGCGATTCAGCTCGGCGAATAGAGGATCTGTAGCGGGAAATAGAGGGTCTCAAGCTACGATTTGAGCAGAAAGAGACGAAGAATGCGATATAAAAAAAAATTTGTCTGAAATGGCAGAAACGCAGTGCGAGCAATTGAGGGATTCTTCTTCAAAAGTATTGACACCACTGTTGTTTTTCTTAAGAAAGTATTACTTCTAAATTTTTGAACGGTAGTGTATGTATTTACTTTGATATTATTTATAGACGCCGTCTTAAACGGCAATTTTAAAACTTTCAGTCTTATGTCCATTTCTACCAATGTAGATTAACTTTAATCTCGGTTTAATTTACTTTCTATCTTTATCTAACTCTTAAAATTAGAAAAAGATGAAAGGTAAATTAAACCGAGATTAAAGTTAATCTGCGTTGATAGAAATGTTTATTCTTCATGAAACTCATAAATTTATGGCAATAAAATCGCGAGAAAAAAAACGAAACAGCGTACGTTCGCATGCGTCACAGTCTAGGATATCCGTACCCTAAGTGCCTGTAGAAATAATTAAACTGATAATCGCGCAGTCTCATATAGTCCGATGCCACATATTGTGAGTACAAGTAATACGGCGGATAATACGACGGGTGATGAGGATAATGCAAATTGTAGTATGACGACGGCATTACTTGGTGACGACTACGTGGCGGGTCCGTCCAGGGCCTGTGAAAGGGTACCTCGAGCTCGTTCTCAGCCTTCTCTGGTGATCTCGGATTCGCGGCGATCGGTCTGGCGTCATCACGTGCGTCGTTGTTGTCCGTGTTTTCCTCGACCATGAGTCTTTCCATCGATTCCATCGAGTTCTCCGCGATACTCGCGACGCTGTCCCCCTCGCTCGCGACCTGATTCGATTCGGAGTCGTAGGTCAACGAAACCCCTTCGTCGGGACTGGAATCCGATTGGGCCTGATGATCAATCGAATGATGCTTTCGCTTGAACCGTGACTGACCCGTCTCGCGAAAACCCTTAGCGAATGGATTGTTATTGATCTTCAACTTCGTGATGTTCTCGTTCTGCAAAAATAACACACAGATGTTCCCGTTAGACTCAATTACAATGGAAAAGATTGCTTTACGTTCCTGAATAAGATCTATTTTAGATATGTAAAAAAAATAAACTATATAACAATAATGATAAAGAAAGAAAGAAAGAAGGAATAAGATTCCTACATACTTGGTATGCCGTCACCGCGATAAATTCCGTCTCCTTGAAAGCGAACGTCGCGGTTGGATGAGTGAAGAGCTCGTTGTAGTTCTTCGCATCGAAGCAACGGACTATCCAGATCCTAGGAACGTATTTGTGCATCGACGTTAATACCACCTGTAAAATATAAGATTTTTTCTGAAATTCGTATAATTTAAAAAAAATATAAAATCAACGTGAGATTAAAACAACTTTGGATGGCACATCGTTAAAATCAGCAATGTCAAAAATTCATCAAACCTTTAAACTATTATTGAACTATTATTGAACGCATCAACATTTTATTTTCACATCTATTACATTTCGAGTTTGAACGATGCGATTTCTCACCAATTAGAAAAATATCAAAAACGCTGAGAGCTCATGCGTCGTTTGTAAATGTGTCTTGCTCTTTACGAATTTCTTATTTTCGAGTGTTAAATGCGGAAAAAAAAGGATCGTCTTTACGCGGTATCTGCATCGCGAAAGACGATCCCGAAGGGGTGAGGGGAGATGAGTACGAAAGAAGAGGCCCTTTCTGTTAGCTGCGAACAGAGATTGGGGCGAAGGGACGAAAGGAGAGGGACAAAGCGCCGGGAATTTTATTAAATTCGTAATTAGTTTGAGGAACCGGGTAAAAGGGGCGCCGCTTTTTCGAGATAAGTTGGCGCCTCACTAAAGAGGCCGACGGTAGACACAGACGCGATTCCCGAAAACCAGACTAAGCCCTGCAACCTTCCCGGAATCACATGTCTCCGCGCCACCGAGGATCTCTCGTATGAATCTAGAGCGAGATGCACCACTTCAATACGCGATCTGGTAGTCGTTACTGACGTTTCACATTTTTTTTACGCGCGGGTTAAGACGGATTTATATTTTAGTATGAAAAGTATCTCATACATCTTTCTTCGACAAATCTCATCGAGTCTAAAATCATTTAACAATTTGATTGCCAAATTGGTTTCGGCACGAATTTGGGTCAAAATCGAGAAGTGTGCGACTGTTTATAAAATATGCATAAAATAAACCGTAAGAAAAATAAATATAAGAAAATAAGAAATATATATTTATATGTGTATATAAAAATACAAATAATATATAGTATATATTACATATATTATTCATATCATTAAATATTTAATAATTTGGTTATAGAATAAATAAAACTGTCGCTCACCAAATGTAAATAATAGATCTCTTTGCGAAACCAATTTAAACAAATAGATACAAGCAGGAGAAATATAAAATAATTCTATTTTTAATAAATTTAGCATATTACTTTAATATTTTATTGTGTTTCTTTTAATTTTTATAAATACTTGAAAGTAATAAAACTATTCCTAATTGGATAAACAAAACCGTAAAGCCACGGGTGATAGGACTTGTAGAAACTTTCGGGTGACGGCAGTCAAAATGCTAAACGATAGAAAAATGTCCATATTATAAGCAATTCTATTACGAGAGTTTTGGCGAAATAACCTTCAGAGGCACAAACAGAAATAACGAGGCTTTTCTCCTTGGACGAGTTCAAGCGGAATATTTACATTTCACATGAAGTTTGATTATCAAAACTTGTAACACTGAAAAATAAAGGAATGTAAGTTACAATACAGTTTTTAATTCAAAAAATTCCTCGGTTCATCTATCTTTCCTTTAGCTGTATAATATCTTTTTAATGAAAAATAATAAAAGATATTTAACTGAATATTTAACAATAACTAATTTCCTAATTGCTTTTTTTTTTAATTTTCAGTGTTACATATTTCGATAGTCTTATATTAAGGCTGCATTCCGATATCCACTGTCAGTACTGCAAATCTATATTTTATGTCACGTATACTATAGATTTTCAGTACTGAAAGTTGCTGACGGTAAATATCGGAATGCAGCCTAAATAAATCCTGTTTGAAAGAAAATTGGGGAAGAAAAATTTTGTTAACTCTCACGCTGAAAGAGAGAGAGAGAGAGAGAGAGAGAGAGAGAGAGAGAGAAGTAAAGATTAGTGAAGACTTGTCGCCAAAATTCTACAACTCAAAATCGCTCATAATTAAAAATTTATTAACATTTCTACAGTAGGACATATAACTGTCTTTTCTTTCTGATTTTTAGCTGGTTTAGATTAGATAAAATAGGGAGATCTTAAATCAGACCAGATTCCGTTTCCCGATTAAAGAAAAAGGTGACGAAACTAAGATAAACGCGCGACAAAGCGAATCTCTTGTTTGTCTAGCCGCTAAATCCACCTTTGTGGATTAACGTAAAGTTTTTCACGCATGAATCGGCTCGAATGGGTAATAACGAGCAAAAGTGCCGCCGAGCTCTTCTATACTCATCCTTCTTGCCGTCGACAAAGGTATAGAAGAGAACCGTAAAACGGCATTTTTAACACCAACGGCGATGATGGCAGCTATAGAGCTAGGAACCTTGTCGGCCGTAAACAAATCCGCTCTCGTTTAGTCCCAGTAGGGAAGGGAGGTATATCGATTACAGGGTATCGTGGAGCGTGCTAATCTCCCATAGATGCCGATCGACGTGCCGCACCATCTTGAGTAGCTTAGTCTTTACCGGAAAATGCACCGCCGACCGGCTCGCCGATCTTTTTTTTTTCCAGAAGTTTCTAATCCTCATGTAACCACAAGACGCGCTTTCTTTGAGCGAATTTTGTGAGAGAATTTAGTTCGAATACCCACAAAAATATCACGAGTTTTCGAATATATTTTTGCGTGCACCAAATTTATATATGTATACATATATACACTCGTATATATCTTTTTTAGTGGCTTACAAATTAAAACTTATTTATTAGACCGAGCAGAGATTTACCACTTTGATGTTAGGAAAAAACATACCTTCTAATACCGATTACTTTATAATCTAAAGGACATAGATTACCGTATCACAACTTCTTTTATCTATTATCTGTTATCGCTATTTAAAAATATACAATATACAGAAATTGAGAAATAGGAGAAATGATTTAAAAAAATAGAAAACAGAATATATTGCATCGTGAAAAAAAGAAAGAAAATTTTGCGAAACTTTTAGAAGTTCTCGTTTGATGTTTTACGATTATCCGAAATAATTCGTATCTCTGCCTTACAATGTTTCGTAACTATTAATTGATAGTTAATGGCGTTAATGCTAAAAAGAAAGAGTCGGAAACAAATTAGACGGGATGGGACGTAGCGATATACTCCCCCATGCAACACAAATAGAAGATAAAACGTAACACGAGACCGGGATAACGAAGATGGAAATGGGGAGAGAGGAAATAAGGATTTTTGAAAATATTTAAGGCTGTCAAAACATTGAAGAACCAGATATATAAGTAGCGGCCGTTAAATTTGAACGGTTTGTTCTCCTTTTATGTTTTCTCCAAGAGACTGTTTTTCGCCCGTGTATTTCTCTGTTAATTTTTGTATATCGTTTTACGATTTTATAACTAGATACTGATAATATAATATTTTCTGTTTTACAATATAAAAATTTACTAAAAAATATAAAACAAGTTATTTG